TAGAGCCTCACCTCGAATGTCAGAAACACAACATCACTTCAAGTAGGAATGGGGAGGCCCCCGCTGGTAGCCAGGTAGTACCTGGCAACCCTACTTTGGGCCCCACCGGAGATAAAAGTGGTGTGTAAGTGAACTCATTAAATAAATTTGTGGTTGTCTGGTTAATTTCTCTGTAAAATATCAAGCACCATAAACCTCCAAGTTCAGTTTGATGGTGGAAAGTGTCATTGAGTGGCAGCTGACTTACAGTGACCCCACAGGGCCGATCCTGCTTGGCTGTGAGAACGGATGAGATTGGGCCAGCCTAGACTATCCAGTTCAGGGTAAATTCAGTTTAAAACATGACATTCTTCATTCCCAATTATAGGTTGTCTTTACCATATATGAAAATGATGTGCAGTTCCACTTCATATATACACACACAAAAGGCTGTACTTTGCGTACTTTTAGGTACTGGTTTAATACCACTCCAGACTCAGCAGGCCATTCCTCTAGAGTGAAGTTGGATACAATTTCTTTAAAAAAGAAAAAGAAAGGGGGAAAAACCCATCAAGGAATCAATTCACAGGGCCAATAATTTTCACTATCCCCCTTTGCTGTGCTTTAATAACAGAATTTCTCTCATACACCTCTAGTTGCTACTTCAGAACAACTCTGAAGTGAGGTCAAAGTCCTTTTGTGTGAACTATTTTGTCTTACAAAATCAATGTGATGCTTCATATCAGTGTAGCCGCCAAAGAGGAAAATAAATTGACAGGGGGGAGGGGAAAGTGTCTCTGTTCAGTTGCCAGACTTACAACATGTTCTATGTTACAACATGAAATAAGACACCATAGAAACAGATGACCGTTGAACTGATTTGAATTTGAAATTGGTGGGCGCATGGGGGGGGGGGGGCCAGAAGGGATCCTCGCCTAGGGTGCAAAATAAGCTGGGGCCGGCCCTGCCCCCGCCCACATTTGGCAGCCCTAACTTCTCCTGATGTTGCCTTCTGGCACTGGCATTCAGAGGTTTACTGCCTCTGAATGTGGAGGTTCCCTTTAGTCACCACTGACTAGTAGCCACTGATGAAACTATCTTTGCTTAGCTGAAATGGAACTATTATTGTGTGTATGTGAAACTATAATTATTATTACTGTGTGTGTGTGAAGATACACATGCAATAAACTTTTTAAAAAACTTTTTCCTGTGACATGCACTTTTCAGTGTGCAGGGATTAATTTTGTATGGGTGGGACCATCATGTGAACCCCCACCTGCACACAGGGCTCCCAATTCCCAGTTGGGAAATTCCTGGATATTTGGATGTGGAGACTGGGAAGAGCCAGGGTTGAGGAAGGGAGGGATCTCAGTGGGGTAAATTTTCAACTTCAAAAGCAGCTATTTTCTTCAGGGGAACTGATCTCTGTTGTCTGGAAATCTGCTGTAATCCCAGGTGGTCTCCAGGCCCCACCTGTAGATTGACATTGGCAACCCTAACTGCACATAGTTCACTGCCACCTTAGCATCAACACTGCCTCTTATTCCCTCAACTTTGGGAAGCATACACGGATCCCTGGACTTGGCATTGGTACTGCCAGTTGCTGTTGAAGAACTAGGCTTGCAGAAGGCAACCATGAAGCTGCTGAAGAGATACTTAGCTACTACATTAGAGGATAAGAAGAGACATTGAGACATCACAGAGAGAAACCTTCTGTGCTGTGGTCCAAATTCCCAACACCATCTTTCCCTTCATATTACTTGATCAGCTTCCCACAAAGAGTCAATGTGCTGTATGAGACAGTGGGTTATAATTAATCGATTAATTAATTATCATATGGCATTGTGTGCAGTATAGCCAGGAGATCCTAAGATTGTCTGGCAGCCAGAAGTTCTATCTCTTTTAGTGTTATGCACCACGAGGTGAAGAGCTAGAGATTGTTTTTTTAGGCAAGAAACATTTCAGAGGAGGTTTGCCATTGCCTGCCTCTGCATCATGGCCAAAGTATTCCTTGGAGGTTGCCCTTCCAAGTACTAGCCATGTCTGACCCTGCTTAGCTTCTAAAATTTGACGAGACCAGACTAGCCTGGCCTATCCAGATCAGGGCAGTGGGTTATATTTGGACTAGTATACAAACACTTGGGTGGCTCTAGATCAGTAACTCTCACCGAACCCACCTCACAACTATGCAGATATATGCTTCCCTGATCTCTTTACAAAAGGGTGGGTGCTAAGAAACAACACAAAAATACTTTATTCATCTGGTAGCTTACTGATCCCATCCAGGTTTATTCAGAAACAAGTCCCATTGAGTTTAATGGGATTTACTTCCAAGAAGTTAAACACAGTAGTTCAGTGGAAGGGTGGTAGTAGGTGGCCATTATTGTTCTAAACTCCTTTCAGTCAGCAGCTTAAAGACATCCCACTAAACAGGAGACACCTGGATGGATCACACTCCAACAAAGGCAATGGTCACCATGTTTTGGACAGAAATCTAATTGATGGAAAGCATGCTAGTAACACAATCCAGTGAGCAATAGACCCTTTCACGTAACATGGTTCTCCTGAATTGCAATTTTACAATTGCTGGACTAGTACAAAAATAATTTCATTTGAAGAGAGGGTTGTGTGAAAGCCGTCTCACAACAAACAGCAGCAGATTTAGAGCATCAGGAGCCCTTTTGTGGGCCAGAACTTCAACATTTCTCAAGATTCCGTGACAAGTGTGAGATTGCCACCTGATCTCCATCCGATCATGTGCTATGTTCCCGACTCTCCAGTAATTAAAACACTTGATAAATATTCAGTGATAATTTGCTGAGATTGCCATTTATCAGTTCTAATGATGATATTTCTCACACGTTCAGCAGATGTTCCATAGCCAGAATTGACTTCTCACAAACATAAATCACAATTAACATATCACAGCGCTTTGCTGCAAATTTTTGTCCAGCACAATGAGTCCCTCTCAGAAATCTACACACATACACACGCACAATAATCATTCCTTTCCAGCTAAGCAAAGATTTTTTTCCCCGGATGCACTGTGCATTCCAGCCTTTGTTTCACTGCAAATGTAATATAATTATGCTGGAAATCCAGAAAGTTTAACCAGCAGGAACTCAAAGACATGGCTCCATTTGGTATCATTATTTTCACAGTCTCTCCGCAGTAAAAAACAGCCTTTCTGTGGTGATAAATGCTGTGGTTCACACAATGCCTACTGGTTGGGATCATATTAAAAATGCTTAAGTTCCATTAGAGTTAAAAGAAAAGAAAATCCTGATGCTTGATTCAGAGGCCTCCATCTTCTTGCAATTCCAATGGAATTGCCGGTATTACCAGCCTTTCATTCCTCTGATCTAAGCAAGATCAGAAGCAAGTTAAGAATCACAGGTTTAGGTCTGAAAACGGAGTTGTTTCCTCCCGCCGCCCCGTGCTCTGTGAAGAAATTACAAGATGTCACCCAGGTAGCTTTTCTGCAAGAGCCGTGACACGGTGCACATGACCATTCCTGAGAAGTGGCACTCGAATCCAGTCTATTAATTGCCTTATTTTGCTCTGACACCAAAGGCTGTGCAGCTCCTGTCCATTTCGCTGGGGGTTGCAGAAGAGAATTTCCTGAAGCATTGTAACCTTCTTCTTAAACAAGGACTTTTAAAAATAAACAAGCCCTTGCTGTCTTCCTAACTTGAAGCCTGCACTTAAAAAAAAAAAACCCAAACAAACCAGCTTTAAGTGTATACAAGGTGCTGAACAGCATTCCAAGGTTGAAGAAATACCACACTACAGTCTACAGAAAGGCTTATTCTGTTTCAAGGCAAAATCTCTTGGGGATGTGTAAGAAAGTCTGCTGTTGATCGGCTACACTTCCACCAAAGTCCCATTTCTGCTACGAATACTATCCTTGTCCTGATCTGGAAGGCCCAGGCTAGCCTGATGTCATCAGATCTTGAACAGGCCCGTAGCCAAGATTTTTATAAGTTGGGGGGTATTTAAATTTCTTAGGGGGCACTGGCTAATCAAATTACAGGAATACCTGGCTCCTTCCCCGCACCTGCTGCTGCTCGGGGGCGGGGGGCTGGGCTGGATGGGAAATTGTGGGGCTTGCCAGTAAGTCAGGGGGCCTAGCCCCAAGATGCCCCACTGTAGCTACAGGCCTGATCTCAGAAGGCAAGCAGGGTTGGCCCTGGTTAGCACTTGGATGGGAGACCACCAAGGAAGTCCAGGATCCTTATGCAGAGGCAGGGAGTGGCAAACCCACCCTGGCTCTAAACTTGGGCAACATCACTGCTGAGACCTTGTTCATCCTAGCCTGCTCAGAAAAGAGTGCCAAGAGGTGATTACGCCTCAATCTCCTTCTGCCTACCTGCTGCTCAAGGAACTAAGGACTTGGTCGATGGTTCTTAGCGCAAAGCAAGTCCTCTCTCTAATCGATCAAGCTACAGAAAATATTGACGTAGTGGCTTGGGAACAGCCTGCCAGCCTTCGATGCTCATGCTCCAGGAAGCCACATCACCACCCCCAGTTATGGCCTAATCAATCACAACCACCACACCTAATTATGATTATACCACCCTGTGATGATTCCTTGTTTGAGAGTATGTGTGTCCCTTTAAATGTTTGATAGTAACTAGTGTGCCGTGATTAACTTTAACTTTAGACTTTATATCCCGCTCGAACCCCCTTTCTCAGGGGGTCTCTGAGCAGCTTACAAGTGGTGCTAATCACACAAATGTTCCCTAACTAGGGCCACAGAGTATGTAGGGGTGGGACTACCTACCGGCACCCCTGTAGTGGTGGTTGGTGTGTTCGTTCGTTCTTGGCTCAGCATTCCCCAATCGTCCCCGGTGGGCTCCAGTTCGACGATCTGGTGACAGTTCTTCTTTTCTCGGAGCATGCGACTCACGCCTTCCTCCGGCCCAGCAACGTTCTTCTGGCTCCGCTGCACCAGCGCCCGACGTCATCACGCACCCGTCTCAACGGCAGTCGCTAGGATGGTTTTTTCCTTCTCTCCTGACCGCCAGGGATTGCTCCGCCGCTGCCGCCGCCGCCGTCTCGCCGCGCCACGCCACCTCCGTTTTTCCTGGAGC